TATAATATAATATAATATAATATAATATAATATAATATAATATAATATAATATAATATAATATAATGTGAAAGAAGATGTAGATAGAAGATATAGATTTCATCACCATTTCTTAGTTTGAGGAAATTACCTTGGTCTGTGTGTTTATTGGGTAGAAAATATTAAATGTAGGTATTTAAATTACTTCTTAAGATCATGGTTGTAATTATTGTAATATATATATCCCTGTTAGCAACTTATAGTTGCATGTTCAATATGGCATAGAATCATTTGTTTTGTATGTATGTATTTGAAGAACTAGCTGTGAAACTAATAATATATTTGGATATTAATAACACTGAATGCCTCAATATTCACAAATACAATGTCAACAAATATTATATGCCTTAATATAAGGAATTTAAATGCAAACAAATTACATGCTTAATTCATGTAATTATCTTGTTTCTTAATGGTGTTTGCTCATATTGAAATAGTTTTTAATTTTTTAATTTTTATTAATTGATCAGTGATATAGTTTTGATTATTTTAGGGAATTTTATTGGGAGAAGCTGAAGAAAGGATTAATCTAATTCTTGAAACCATACAAAATAAGTATGGTGCACTGATATATAAGTGTTCAGCTGTAGAACTGGAAATTGTCATTGAAGCTAAACTTCAGCTTGCAGCTATTGCTCAACAGAGACTTCAAACAGCTTTCAGGTGAATTAAAAAAATACCTTGATAAATCCATTTTTCTACTGGAATAAAACTAACATTTGCTGAAAGTAGTGCTTCATGGATGATTGTCTTAACTGATACCTTTTTTCACTTCATTTAAAACATTAAAAAATTGGAAAAGCATTCATTGATAAGTGAATTAACATTTGGTGACTGGCAGGAAACACATTTTCCTGAGCTGTTTGGAAAGACAACAGCTATTCATATCTTGATTGTTGTAATAAGCAGTATGTAGGGCTATCATGTGTATATATGTATTGAATATTAAATTCCTAACAACTTCAATCTGAATTTCTAGTATGTTTCTCAAGCTCAGCAAATTTAAGGTGTACGGAGTTTAAGAAAATCCATATACCTTTTAATATTGCTGAGGTTGACACTCTGATCTAAACAATTGGCTATTCGATGCAATAAGGTCCCTTGCCTTGGACAGAGGGTTGGACTAGAAGACCTCCAAGGTCCCTTCCCTTCTGTGATTCTATTAAAATCCTGTGTGACTATTAATGTTATCTCTCTCTCTCTCTCTCTCTCTCTCTCTCTCTCTCTCTCTCTCTCTCTCTCTCTCTCTCTC